ATTTCGGTTGCAACACTATAACTGACTAAGAAGTGGTCGGATTGGTACTTTTAGATGGACGTATTGTTCAACTGTCGAGCAGTCTGTAGTTTACGACGTAAACGAAGATGGATTGTTTTACCAGAGTCTCTTCAAAAACTTTACGAACAATTGTGCTACCGTTAGAGCATGCTGCAGTTTAGTTGACAGCTTCATGATTCTTCATCGAATGACACAGCTACTACTCGACTAGTTTCTGGGTGAAAATTCTAGATTGAGTGCAACATCGCTTCAATTTCCGCCAGTTTTGACGATTCTGGTCTCCTGAACGCCAACTAGATATGCTTTTATAGGAAGATTGTGGTTGTGACATGAATTTTTTTCCAGGAAATGACAGCAAACTTGCTATTAGAGGCCAAATTTGACCCGGTGGCATTATGGCATTCTGTCCCTTGCATAAATTGTCTTTTTCGAATAAAGTTTTTGAATCTTATAAATTATTGCCATTTTCCCCAAAAAACATAGACCCAACTCTACAAGGCACGTTCTCACGATTAAACGCATATAAGCAAAGTGTTGTCGATTAATTTTCAAGCAGAACAAGTGACTGAAAGCAAGATTTATCGGTTGCGCAGTTTGAAAAAAAAACATGTTTTTTTAACAAAAAGGCCATGTCGTGACTCGGAGGGCTAGTAATTACGATCAACTTATGTAAAACTTTGCACACTTGCGTGCTTTATGCAGTACGAACGCCCGTCTTAGGGTACACCAACTTACAAATATGGAAAACCTAGCAATAAATAGGCTTTAATAGGTCGGAAAATTCCCAGGAATGCCATTGTCGGTGACAGGAATTATTCGCAAAAATAACAACAGCTCCTGCACGCAATCCCTTGCTGCCTCCCCTGGTGGAAGGAGTCTGCGTTCACAAACTGTCAACCCCTTACTAACGATTATGGAAATGGGTCACGCATCTGCCCGTGGAGCCTTCCCAGTGTGGATCGAAAAACCGGCGAACTGTCTAGGCGTCATCGTCTCTGCTACTATCAGCGTTTTTTTTGATGACTTGAATTAATTCAAGAGCCCAGCGAATTAAACCATCCGCTCTAACGCAAATATCCAAAAGGTGAAAGCAGCTGATCCCGACCGGGTAATCGAATCTTAGCCTTATTGACCGTAGACCAAGATTGTTGCTTTGACAAGGCAGTCAAATAACTCAGCTTGTTTGAAAATTTGCTGCTGAGGGTCACCTAATTGGGTAATTTGACAATTACCCCACTTGTGCTTGGGATATTGCCATTTTTCGCCAACATCCCCAAAATGCATTTATTGAATTTTTAATAAAATACTCATAGCCTAAGCAGGATGTTGTTGCAAGAATAATGCTACCAAAAAACACTCATATTGTCTTCTCTACTTCGCTTCAACAACGGCCAAAGAAGGATTGTTCCCTGAAAAATGCGGCATTTTTTGTTCTTGCAAAATTAAATTGTAAACCCTTGCGAGAAAATTGCATGTGTATGCCTCGACTACTTCTCTTAGTTTTAGTAAAAATGCTCAGTTGAAGGAATTTTGAGCAAGTGTGCCTCGAATCTGCTGGTTCCCTTTTAACGGCTGTGCAGTGCGGAAAAATGTGTCCAACCTTGCACTCGTGTAATGGCTTGTTTTAAAGATTACGGCAACGTTTTCTACCGAAACCTCTGAAATTTTGGCCTGCCCATACGTCCCCGAAAAGTACATTCTGAACACGGTACCTCCTGTTAAACGCCAGTCTATTGCTTATCAAGCGCAAATCTGGCTTTTTACAACCTCAAAATTTTAAATCAAGTAATTACTGATCGTCTACTGTCCGTCTGTCTGTTCAACGAATAGACCAGTAATTTTGTCTTTACACAATTATGTCCAAACGAGTAGTTTTTTTGTATTTTAATTCACGCGCTAAAACTTGGTTAGAAACCCTACCTTTATACATGTTTTCATTGCAGAATAACGGCCAGACGCTTCAGTCGCGACCTGATGAGCGACGTAAGTAATGAGTACATAATTTCTAAGACCTTGTTTGTTCTGATGTCGATTTAGTTTCGACACTTTAAATTCGGGATTTTGTCAGATCAAATGTGGGTTGTTAGCACACGCCTTTAAAAAAGGTACCACTTGCAGGTGAAATATTTAATTAGGCAAGTTGCTTCCCTAGTCCGACAAATAACATGTCCGCTTAGCCAATAAAATTTCAGATTCATTGTCTGCTTAACATACTCTGTAAAAGTACAGCCCAGGGTACTTATAATAAAAACGTATTAGTCATGAACGTAGTAGTCGAATTCGTTGGTGAAATGGGAAATCGATCTGGCTCTCAGAATTGAGTTCATCTTTCCTGAAAAGCACTGGCAAAATGGAATTCAGAGGAAGCGTCATATTTCCAGTGAAAGTGGATCCTTTGCTAAGAGACCTGCTCACGACCGAGTTTCTCCCCCATAGATTCCTTCCCATCGAATCCTCCGGCGATCGGAACGGTCTCTCGAGAAAGACGAAGTCGGCGACAGCGTCAAAACCGTTTCCAGAATGGCAGCGCCACCTCAACCAACCGCCGAAGAGACGTGGAAGGGTCCACAGTCCACCGGAGTTCTGAGGTTGTGCCACGACACCCCTGGATCTCCCCGACAAACGGATACTACACGGGGGGCGCGGATGTCGACGCCTTGGGGTACTACAGGGACCCCGAATGTCCTGAATGCGTGGCCGCCTCTGGTGAAGACCCAAGCAGGATTCGATTCGAACAAGACATCCCTCTTGCCTCCTCCTCTACTAGACGTCAACGTGAGTTCCTCGTTCGTTCACCTACTACACTCGAGGCTGATAAATTTTAGGGTCCTCAAAAACCACTTTTGCCCTAATCCGCCAAGTATAATTAATCAAAGTGCTTCCCTCGCGTTCTGCAGTACTTGGTTTTTTTTGCAAAAAAACAAGTAATTACAGACACTAAAAAGCCGGGGAAACAGGCAAAGGATTTATGAATAAGTCAAGTCCTTATAAATTCGTTTTGCGTCTGTTTCGGTAGCATAAATTTTCCGTACTTTGCAACGCAGGCCTGGATTAACCAATTTGACGGTGGTGTCCTCTGTACCACAAAGTAGCTCAACGCAGCATCTGTTGAAGATGCAGTGACTTCTATTCAAATGAACTGAGACAATGGCATCGTAAATGAGAACGCCTAAAGGATGTTAGATGGAAGTTTGGTTATTTTCCTAGGCACCCGGCTTTCACTACAAGTTTCGGGAGGGAAATTGTTTACCCGATGTTGGTATTCAAGTGGCCGATTCCTGGAACCCTAGTTTGAATATAATGCTTAATTAACAACGCAGCAAACTGACCTCCACGTTTGATCTTGATGGACCGAAAGACAGGTCAAATTTTGCACATAAAATTGTACGGTTTCTTGGGGGCATGTAGTTAGGGTTGTCTAGCGGAGTTGACAAGTTCCACTTTGTCGGAACACACACTGCACATCAAAAGTGAGGCAGGTCGTGGAAAAACAACTCTTGGAAAATCGCAGCCGAAGAAAAAAAGGAGTACGTGCTCAAAGTGTCTCGTGGAAGTCTTCATAGGGAGATTTTTTTAAAAACACCACTCGTGTGAACCTGAAATGTAGATCAAGCTATGAAGAGCAAAAAAATTTGAGTGGTTAACGTTTGTCCTAAAAAATGAACGAAACTGCTCTGATCTCCTTCTTGTTTCACGAGTTTCATTGGCTGATTTCTCAAGCAACATAGTTGAAGTTGGGCAAGCGCAAACATTTAACAATTGAACAGACTCGTACTCGTGGTGATTTGAGTAAACTTAAGCGCCAAATGATCTCGGAGTGCGGAGGAGAACTAGTGTAAATATGCGAATTGCATTGTTCATTCAAAATATGGCTTCGAAAATGACTTCTTAGAAGTTTTGGGTCACAATAAAGGTTCATTAACCAATCCGTGAATTGACGTGCTGCCTTAAAATATTAATTCACAAGGGCCACAAATCATTCTCTCTATTAAAAAAAATCTTTTTTTTAAAATATCGATAAGTTCGGTATTGCTTGGGCAACTGTGTTTTAATCGCCTCTAATTGCTGCCGCGAATTTTCCCGTTCTGATTCAGTTCAATCACCTTGTGGTGAAGGTTATGCAATTAAAATCAAAAGATGAGATTCCAGGTATTTAGCGTTCTATTAAACAGCATCTTCTACGTCTGTTCCGTGACAATAGTCGTCTCTTACGTCGTTTTTTGAATAGTGACGATTTGGGTGGTTTGTTGGCTTGTTTGGATTCATTCAGAAATCCAAAAATACCTCGATTCTTGACGCTTATGTCAGATCCATTGTCTACAATGGATGCTTGGTATCAGTCGACCATTTAGGCCAATGACTTGTTTCCTGTTACCAGTAATACTGTCACTGCTTTTTAAAATACAGACATCGAAAAAGCAGCATCGGAAAGCAGGATTCCAACCACCAGAGTTTTGTTGAACTGATTTTTTTGAAAAAAAAGGGGGCCGCCAGTTAAAGTTTTGACTCCTGAAACATTCCATTTTACTTGTGTGGACCCCTTAGCCTGGGCTGTGGTCTGCAGATTGTATTCCCGCATCCCAAATTGGTCTTTTCTTGCTGCAGAATCTTATCTCATCCTCCCCAGAGGGTGACGGAACAAAGTAGCTTTTTGGTAATGCCACAGAGTGATGCAAACATCCTCGACATTTTTGAATAAGCCCCCCGCACATCATGCTTGGAAGCTGCGCAAGAAAATAAAAGCAGAATGTTCCAAACTAAACTTGTTACTTCTGCGTAAACAAGTTAATAAACTACCGGAATCTTTGTAGGGTACAACTGAAGTGCGAATTGTCGGAAATGTCAGTTAATTGTTGGCTGAAAAGTAACTGATAAAACGAAAAATCGGGCTATAAATTTTAAAAAGTAGGAATTTATGCAAGACTGTGTGAAGATTGAGTGGAAACGTCCGATCTCCATGGTCCGCCAGATTCCTCTAAGAAACGTGATTTGATTTAAACAAAAAACAGCCATTTACCGACCCGAAATGTCTCAATTCCTGTCTGTCTCCTACTGCTGTCTGATTGGATAGGAGAATATTGGATATTCGGTGACTTGAGGTGTCCCAAATGCTGTCAGAGGGAAAGCCAATTTTCCTCAAAGCAGGAACAAAATAAAGTACAAAATTTGGTCAACCAGATAAAACACAAGATACCGCATTGCTGAGGGCGTAAAATGCCTAGTTGGTGCCGATTTGTTAGTCTGATGCCATCTAAAACGTTTTCGGTAAGTGAGGATTTTACTTCGCATCAACCTCATATCAAGGGTATCATGCTAGCGAAATGTTTTATTAGAGTTTGCGTCCCTGCTAACACCGTTCCATAAACACGAAGTTGAAATGTGCAACATTTTGTGGTTACCTGACCGACGTTTTGGGTGTAAACCCTGGGGTCTTTGTGCCCAGCCTCGTCTTTCGGAAAAATTAGTGTCTCCCTTATTTACGTCATTTCCACTGTTATCATCCCTAGTTCCTCTAAGGTGGCAGTTTAACTCAGGCAATCACTTGAGCAACTCTTATCAAGGTTTTCGACCGCGTCAAAATGACCTCAGGTTCCACAATGGAATGCTCTCGGACCCGGACGTGTTTTATCAGGATGCCTTCTGGGACAGCAGTGGATGGGAGGGCTACTACCAGAGGCGTCTGCGTGCCGACGACTTTGAGTGGTACCCTGGACCGGCCTACGAGCCCTTCGAATCTGACTGGCAGCAGCAGGGGTCATTTGAGGAGCCGGGTCGGCGACCCTATCGATTACCCTCGAACCACCTACAATTGCCACCTGGGGACTATGGGTGCTGGTAAGCCATAGGAGACGTTTAACGTGACTATGAACTATCTAACAAGATACACCACAGTGCACAATCCCAAATACCTGTCTTTTTCTGTCCAATTGAAGCCTTCGATCGATAATCTGTCTTCTTTGTGGCACTATGGGGATCGCACTTGTCTGGAACATTCCAACTCCTTTTTTGTGTCGTCCCATGTGGATTTTTTTGTGTGGATAGAATGTAGTTGTTGCGTTTACACAAATTCCGATAAGTTAAAACTAGTGTCTTGGCCGCAACCTAACGACTAGTTTGTTCACTTCAACACCTCCTGCTTCTGCATGATGCCGTTTTGCAGTTAACGTGAAGGGTCGCCCTTATACAGTCAAACCCCTGAACAAAGTTGTAGTTTGAAGGTGTTTAACGCATTTCACTCCTCTGATTTGACCTGAACTAGGGACCTAGGTCTGCAAGAGAGCCTAAACGCAGCTGGTGATGCTGTGAGCGCTGTGGAGATTGCGGAAGAACACCTTCCAGTCACTTCTTAATCTTCGAATTTTCCAGCTGATTAATGAACAAAATTTAACCAAACTTGATCGAATAGAGTGTAACTAAGCAGTAAATAGGCGCCACTTTTAACGGTGGCTCAGGCAACAACGCTGGACGCCTAGTTGAACGACTACAACGGACGACCACACAGCGAAATGTGCTCGGTTTTGGGTTGGATTTATTTTCGACAATGTGGTCCCCCACTTGCAATTATTGCCATTTTCGATTCCACTTTCACTCTCAAATATCCACAAAGCCAGCTACATTAGCCTAACCTATTACTGTGTCAATTTGTGAAATCACTTACCTCCTTGTACCAATCGGGTTGTTCAGCAAGCTCTTGTGCTTACAGGTCCGACACAGGGATGCCGCCTGCTACCAGAGCAATCGACACCTCGCGCCGATGGTCAAGGTAAACAACCAACGTATAAAGTAGATGGCATTTAAACACTTTGATTTGGTGTTGAGATTGTGAGCGTCTCCGGCCTTTAGGTAAAAAGCAGTGACGATTAAAAGTAGCTTTCTTTAGCTGGGACAAACACGGTCGACCGACTGAACACCTCTACGACAATCTCGCCTATGCCAACGGACACCACCGCTACTACACTGATGACCAGTCCACTGATGAATGGGCGTTGGATAGCTCCTGCACCCTCCTAGCTGGTGGCAGTCCATTCCACGCATCACAGCATCCCTACCAACCCGTGGCGACTGAATACCGAACGTCAGACTCGACAACAGCCGAGGCTTCTAGGTTTGTATCGGATCGTCAATACGTGCCGTACAATCGAGGACTGCCCAGTGAGGGGACGTAAGTTTTGCCATTTCCGAAGCCATAGCTGTCCGAGATCACGGTTGACTTCAACTTCGCTGTAGCATTTCTGACAGTCCTTCATGGGTTCAGTCGTAACTCTCCATCTTAACATACAAACCACAGGCCGGTCTTGAAAAATTGCTAACTCGCATTTAACATATTTTAATGAGATTGCTCGTGTCGAACCCGTCACAAAAGTATGTTATTGTGCTCCCACAAAACTCTGGAAGATGGGCGTACAGAAGCAAACTGACTCATCCAATCCGGTAATCTAAATTGCCTCTGTCCGTGTCACGTGGTTACTGACGCCAGAGCAATCTAAGACGAAACTCCACACGATTGATTGCCAAGGTTAATGGCTGATTTGCGTAAATGGCAGAAGAACGCTCTTTTGTAATCACAATGTACTAATTGTCGTAATGCGTCGAGATTCAGCACAACCGTAAATCAGTGTTTGTTTAAATCAACACGTATCCAAGGCCAGCATTCAACGCGAAAACTGAAGTCACATTTTTGTCGTGTTGTGCTGAAGAAGTGAGAGTTGGAACAGAAACAGAAAATCTTGCAGATGCTTAGTGGTAGCACTCTTTTCGGACAACTAGGAAGCGATTTGATCAATTTGTGATAATCTGCGGATCGACGCACTTTTAAATGCGAAGACACACATTGACAGAGCAAAAATAAGACGAGGTTCCACAACTGATTCCCTCCTCGCGCGTCAAAGAAACGGAGCTTTCTTGAATAGAGTCACACATGGAGAGGTAGGGTGATTTCTGTGAAAAGAAAAGAAGCTGGAAGTGGCTGGATTGTTGTTTTGTGTGTGGTTGACTTGTGCTGTAAAACGTTGCAAGGCAGGCACAGAAGAGGACAATTTTCCTGAAAATTATGGAACTTAATGTGGTTTCAAATTGGGATTAAATTTTTCGCAATCACCTCCAGCGCTATGATCTTATATGCCCCAAATTTTCAGCTATTTTATTAAAAAAACGCACGTTATAGACACGTGTGCTAATTTTAGTTCTCAAATCGTAAACACTTGCTTACATTTCCAGCCTACGTGTGTGTGACCTTCTTAACTTGCAATGTGGTTGATGTAAGCTTAGGAAACACGCAAATCCAACGGGGTCAACAAAATACGATAGGAATAGCAAAAAATTACTTAATTTTAGCGACTTCTAAACTTTGAAATCTCGCTTTGCTCCATCGTAGGAATTTTCTGTGATTAACATCGGTTTGAGCGCTTCAATAAGTGGAGACTTGATCTGCTGTTGTGAACAAACGGGCTGTGTTGGATTAGGGAAACAAATTTTGGGCTAATCGCCAAAATCAGCAGTGCGTTAGCGCAACAGATGCCAACACCACCCCCCCCTCGCCGATATTTGACTGCTGTGTTTCTCATGGTGGCAACTGACTCGATTGGAGCCGTGGGAAACGTTTTACAAATGCTTTTTTTAGAAACAAAAATGAACGCAACATTTTCCAATGTATCAACTTGTGTTTTTGCCCTTATCCCCAGTAGAGTTACACAAGCAAAATGTCAATAAAATCGCAACAGGAATTGCAGATCCGACTAAAAAAACCAGTCGTTATAGGGACGTGGGAGTAGAATGTACCACCAAATGCATAATCAAACCGATTTTGAAGACCAACTCCCTCTTAAAGCACACAGATTCACCCAGCCCGCACCTCTGTTCCATTTGGCTCACGCCAGCCAATCAGAGCACCGTAAAAACCGTGTATTGGTTGCAACCAATCAGGATGGACATCTGCATCGGGTCGCCTGGCAAATGGCCAATGGCCTTACGTTTGAATCTGGATGGTGTGATTTAAAGTTTTCATCCACAACGGAGTTACATACAGAAAACGCCAGTTACAAAACGTGCATCTTTAGTTGCAACTGGTAGATTTCCTAACTACTGAGGTTTCATGGATTAGTAGACCCAATTAAAAATTATCCTTTTCCTCTGTGACAAAAAAAATTATTCGCTATCACTGGCAATACCGATTCAAACCGCCTTTAACAATAAGCTTCCTCTTGAGGCATCCGAATTCACTTCGTTCTTAATTGCAACGCCAACCAATCAGAGCACTGTACAAACCGTGAATTTTTTAACCCAATCAGGATGGAGAAGTGCATCATGTCACGTGGCCAATCATCAGTCGACTTCAATTTGCAACCAGATGGTTTAATATAACGTTGACAAAAATGATCGCATGGCAGGCTTGTGGCACGCATGTGTCAAAATTTCTCTAGTTGACGACCAATCCTGGTCCCATTTACTTGCAAATAGTAAAATTGCTGTTTTTTTGACCTAGACGGCAGACCTATCTTGCACCCACCGATCGAGAGCACCATCGTTACGCCCAGTCGATCCAGGAGCTTTCACGAGGTTCGCGAACACGGCGCAACAGTGGCTACTACAGTCCCTCTACCTCCCTGAAACGAACAGAGAGGTCGCGTGCAAGAACAAGTCCACGATCCAGGGACCCTACACGCAGCCCGGGTCATGCGATTCCCGGCAGTGTAATGTCGCCCTACGAAAACCAAAGAGCCTTCGAGTAAATTCCCGTCTTACGCATTTCTTATTCAACCCAATTCAAAGCGTATTGGATGTATGACTTACTTTTTGCAGATTTTTTGACAAATTTATTTATTATAGTAAAATAGAGAACACCGAAGTTAATCTTGCGATTATTGTCCACAATTTTCTATGACCTAGCACAATCTCTAAGGTAACGTTCGAATGCCATCACGAAGGAAACTTGCAGGTCTCGCGGCAATAAAGCCACCAACGACGAATTTATCCACACCGTCCGGTGTTGTGAGAACTGTTTCTACACTATGGCGTGCTGCTGCCGCTGCTACATTGACCGGAAAAATGGTAGTCAGATGGGTGGGTGTGGGGGAACTTCCCAGCCCATGTTCAAGAGGGTCTTCTGAGTCTCACAACCAACGTGAGGTTGTCAAGCGTGTCATGCAGTAGCAGTACGACTTGACTGCTTCCTTGTCCAGTAAATGGCGTTTTCTGATCACGTTCTTAGCTCAGTTTGTTCAATTGTCGGCTGTAGCCTTCCACAGTCACCGTCTGACGACCAGTTTCCAGCGTTCGTTAGCAAGTACACCCTTCATGTCCCCACACCAGATACACAGGAGGACCTTCTCCCCGTGGATTTTCTGTTTCCGCGTCGATGGGCTGGTCTGTCCAGGAACTATCCACGACACCCTTTCACGTTTAGGAGTCTTGAAGCAGATGTACTTTTCCTCACCTGTCACAATTTTCCACAGGAAGTCCATTTGCTGCTTGTCGCCGGTGGACAAGCAGTGAAACACACGTGTTCAAACATTGACCTAAGTTGTGCTTCGTCAACGAATGAAGGACCCAACTTCCAAGTTTTCGAATTTCTTCCAATTCGGTAGCGCAAAAGCGGTTTAGGTGACACCTAACTGAGCTGCTGCAAGCTTTTCTTGCGTTTACGTCCAGTTTTCACCCAGTAGAGCTTGCAATTTCGCGTCTCTACACCTTCGAGGCTGCTGTCTGGGGCGCGGTTGGTCACTAATATCGAAATCGCCACTTCTATATCTTCTGTACCATCAACTACGCGTTTCATAAGACAACGTCAGCAGCACCAACAACACTACAAGTTCATTCCATCCCTTCCTTTAGAAGCATTGTAACAAATGCAATGCCATCGCAGACTCAGGCATTCTGAGGGGGTTACGTAGCTCACGTAGACTTGTCCTTCAGGCTTCTGAAACCTCGCATCCGATCCTTTCAAAACCACACAGGACAGTGAAAATATTGCTCGTTTTCATGAAATTTTATGCTCGAAGAAACAAATCCGTACAAATTAAGTAATATACCTAACAAGTAACATCTACCACCCATTCACTCAGCCCCACATGGGAAGTTACCTCAAACGTGATGTTATTGAGAGCCGTGATTTTGGACCTGGCCTCAGTCCGCCGATCTGCGTCCCCCTCCAGAGCCCCATTCGATTCGTTCACCGACGACGGAGCGACCAGAAAGTGGCCAGGTCCGAGGAAGACATTTGGCGGTCCACCGGGTCCGTTCGTGAGGTCGCCTATCCCGTTTCTAAGGCCACAGGTGGCCGAATTCGTGGCCGGATTGGCGAGGAATATGGCGGCTTTGTGATTGGGAACACGGCGACACAAGTAGAAGGCGAGGCCGTCGGTTAGCTCGTAAAAAGACGACACTAGACAATCGATTAGAGGGGACCACGGGACCTGGGGGTGCTGGGTGTCGCCGTTAGGAGGTTCCAGCTGTTGGGACTTTTGAACCTTCTCCAGAGCTATCTGTGGAGACAACGTGGAAAAAACAGACGCTTATTTAAACAAAAAAGGCGGAATTTAATACGGAAAGAGCCTTGGGAACGCACAATTCGTGGAATGAGATTGACACCGAGCGCACAATGTTCCCACAGACGCTGACCAGAGCAAAACTGGGCCTTAAAAAAACCCACGCTCTGAGAGAACAATCAGTCGCTTAGCTGTTTTACGACTGACAAATGGCATCACTAAGGCAAATGAAAAAAAATGACGTACTGCGTGAAGTCAGTTAGCGAGGTTTTAAGCCAGACAAGAGACGGCGCAGTGCTCAATTACCTGTGGAAGCACATCTAGACAGGTGAATGTCTACACGTCGAATTGACACCAAACGCCAAGAAGAAAAAAACGCCTCGTGTGAAGCACAGCCGCGTGAAATATGCGTGTGCGTGTACTACACACGAACTTTAAACCACGAGGTCCGAACTAATTTTTCTTCCCCTAAACCACGCATTTTGAGGTATTCTGTTGGGAGAATTTGCCTTGGCGTGCAAATTCGAGCAATCGTTTTACAGTAAACACAGGTTCTAGTGCTACAGCAGACGTGACTTCTTGTAATCGAACACAAATAACACCTACAAGCGGACAGGTGACCTTGCACTATTAAAAGAGAGTGTGGATGGGGCTATGCACTTGTCCTGCAGCAGCGCCAGAACCAATTAACCAAATATTTGTACTTTCCGGGGTGATCCTAATTGGATTACTACCAAACAACACGGAATTAGTCGATAAGTAAAACACCAGTTTTACCAGCAGCAAGTGATGTAACTCTAGTCCTAGCAGACTGCAGCGGGTAATCGATCGGAATGGCGACATTTCCGATCATTAAGGGTCTAAATTCGCTTGGTAATTTAACTCATCAAACAAAAGACGGAACTAGGAGAACACGGTTCTCCCTTCCCTCGAAAAGCCAACGAAAAATTTGGTGAGTTGGTTTTAGTGGCCGGGCGGCCCAGTTAACTAGGTATCTGGGTTTCCGCAGTTTGTTGGTGAATGAACTTTGAGTTCAAATAAAGCATATTTTGGCTCTAGAACGTCAAAAATTAGCCATCGTCAGCCGAAAAACGGCGATTTCGAAGGTGAGTGACCGAAGGGAGCAGAATCCGATCGGCTGTATCGTCGAATTCAATAGCAAATTAGCAGAATAACGTGGCGTGGTAGGGCGGAAGGAATGTTGGGGAAAAACGCTCGTTTTGGCAGTCAGCTTTTAATGTGGCGTGGTTGCTAGAACGTGCGCACCAACAAAAACGCCACGGGAAATACCATTTTCGCAGAGGAATCGAGGTCAACGCCGTAAGGGGTCTGCAACGGGCCTAGGGAAAGCCGACTGGCATTCTTTCAGCTGTCTACGCGTTGGAAGAGATGCACTAGCATGGGAACCAAAGGGCAGACACTGACAGCTTCGTTTAAAAAACCTCCGTAATCCAGATTATGCACCAGCCGTTGGGGTTTCACCCGTGCTTGCACAACAACCGAATTTTCTCACGAGGCTCGCAAATGGTGTGATAAAAATGACGAGTCACATTATGGTTGGTGGGGCTCAAGGTTACGCAGGGATAATGCCCGGCCGTAGAGAGCCTCGTGTCAGTGTATGACGTACACGAAGTGAGGAAAGGCGCGTGCGACCTGCATAATTATGGCACAGAAAAAGCACACACACGACCTTGGTTAGGTGACGCTCATTGGCACAGCCAGGAGCGGCCAATAACGCGCGTCCACTTTCAGCACGTGAGACAAGTCGTGCCATCCTAACTGTAAACAGGAGCAATATTTTTTATATAGAAAAGTTTGCATTTTGCACAATTTCGACTGAGAGCACCTCAAACGAGGCGCACAAAAGTGCTGTGATTTGTAAAACACTCAAGTGTTAGCACGATCAAAGTGGCGCAGTGCGTGCGCCGCGTCGAGAGGCAACATCTCGAGTTACACCAGGTTACCAACGTCAGTTAAACGTGCAAAAGATATTTTTGGAATTAAACGAGCTTCAGAACGCACCGAAGTTATAGGGAGACGATGGGGAGAAACGCCTTGTGATAAATGGTTTGCGTTTGCTAGTTAACTAAAGCGAGGTGGGGGTGGGGGAAATGCCAGGGTAGACTGGCGCGATGGTGTGGCTGCTAGCCAAGGGATGAGTAATGATAGATTGATGATTGGTGGATAACGTACACGAAGTCTCTCCCCATTGGCCACCTACACAACATCTTCGTCAGGGCATTGGTTTGAAAGCAAGGCGACCTAAAAACACTCACGTGGTGTCCGCTCGGAGCCGAATCATCGGCGAGTATACATGCACTGCGTGCTGGCAGATTACCCAGAATCTAGATCGCGTTTTCGCAAGACGAGTCGCCTTGAGCACACAGGGCCTGTGCAACCTGGGAGCGTGGAAGGTGGACGCACACCACAAGAAACACCACGTAGTGCGTGGATACTGAGTGGACTTCGACACAAACCATCCATAACTGCACTAGGCAAATCATATTTCAAATAGGAGCGCTGTCGCGGTCTTTTGTGATTTTGAAAGGATCGCACAAAAGGTTTCAGAACACCGAACGACAAGTCTACGTGAAGTACATAACCTCTCACAATACGAGAGAGTTTACGAGGATGGCAACTGATAAACAGTACATTCGATGACACTGCATTTCACGCGAATCCCAGCATGGAACACGAGCTTCGACAGCACGAGGAGAATCAATTTGTTGCATTCTTGGTGCTGCCGATGCTGCGTCTTATGAAACGTGTGAATGTTGGTACAAACGTTCTAGAAGTGGCGATTTCGATCTTAGTGGCCAGCTGCGCCTCCGACAGCTGCCTCGAAGGTGTTAAGATGCGGAATCGCAAGCTCTACTGGATGAAGACTCAACGCAAACACAAGAAGAGCTTGGAGTAGCTCAATCGAGAGTCACCGAAAAAACTATTTCCGAGCGTTTGCATCAACAAATGGGAAGGATTCAAAAACGTGGAAGTTGGGTCCCCCTACATGTGTTGACCGAATGCAACCCACGTCGACGTTTGAGCACGTTGTTGAGGAAAATTGACGGGCGATGGAAAATATACTATATCATTCGTCGCAATGTGCTGTAATATATCAAAATTTGCTGCAAGCTGAGGGTTCACATTAACCTAGGAATTCGTCCTTCAAAACGGTAAAACACACTGGAAAACACACGGAGTTGCGTCTAGTCTAAGAAGCTAGACTTGACACGGCGACCAACTAT